AAACATTTGAATGATGATTTTGCCATTTCTTTAGAGAAAGTACTCCTTTCTGACTTTTGTCATTCAATTCCCCTTTAGGATCACAAAGATGAAGTAACGTGTGTTACATTTAATAATAATGACAGCTACATTGCCTCTGGTTCCATGAGTGGAGAAATTATATTGCATAATGTTACTACCAACCTGTCCAGCACACCTTTCGGTCATGGAAGCAGCCAGGTACTGAGAATGTGTTTTTATTATTATTATTATTATGTTTGGTCATCCTCTGTTAGTCGAGTTTATGATTTTCACTCTGTTTCTATGTGTTTTCAGCCCATTCGCCATTTGAAATATTCCTTTGTGAAGAAGTGTTTGCTTGGTGCTGTGTCTGACAGTGGCAGTGTGACCTTGTGGGATGCCAACAGCCAGAGTCCATACCATATGTTTGAGAGTGCTCACAAAGCTCCAGCATCGGGCATTTGTTTCTCACCAATGAACGATCTTCTTTTTGTCACAATTGGGCTAGATAAAAGAATTATCTGTTATGACGTGTCCAGAAAAATGTAAGTTGTGTTCATAGATTCACAGATTCACACTCGCATGATCCATCCAAGCCAAGCCAAAAAAGCAACATACTTGTTGTTGCTTTTCAGCTTGCCTACCTCATTGTGTGTCTCTTTTTATAGGGAATGTACAGTCCCTTTTTTTTTTTTAATGCTAATTTAGTGCTTTTAGTGCTTTTTTTTTTTTTTTTTTTTTTTTTTTTTATATGATGGGAAGTGAAACACCACAAGGTGGATGTGAACACCTTGGATCTTTTTTGCCTAAAGTTCCAATATTGAAACTGCGTCACATTATTCCCCTAGCAGTTTTCGAGTCTCCCGGCAGAAACCTATATCGCGGTGTGTAATGGGATCACTATAGGTGTGTTCCCCAAGTTGCATGGTCTGATGGGACTAGAGAATACATAGAACCTCTTTCAACAATCTTTGGTCATGTGTTAATGGAAATCTGCATCTAGCTGTTAGGTGCATTCTGATTGCATTTGGCATCAATTTAGTACTTCTGAGATCATTAAGGGGGGCAGTCTGTTGCGGTGCATTTAATGCAGGTGTGATAATATGCATTGCTTTAAGGCAGCCTATATATTTGTATGGGTTGCCAACTCAAAAATAGCAGACTAAAAATTGGACTTGCACCAATTTATTTATTTTCTAAATACCTGTTTATTTGATTTCTGCCTATTAAGTCCTTGCAGGGTCATTTTCAGTCAATTATGGACACCCAAACAGAAAATCATACTAACAGTTTTTTGAAAAAAAACAAAACTCATACTGCTTTAATGGCTCTATGAACCTGCTGAGTGCTTTTGAGATTTTATAGATGGCTTGCCTCCTCTGTGTAGGGATAGCTTCATAAATATGTTGCAAGGACAGATCATTCAGCAAGAACTATATCTAATTTACAGGAAGTTTAGTATTGACATTGGATTTACACATCCACATGTGCCATGAGCCTAGCTAGGGACTGACTATATTTTTAGCAAGTGTACTTTTTCTAACTTTGTTCTAAAGTAATATTTAATATGGATTTTTTGCACATTTACTTGCTGTTCCATGTTTTGGTTGTGCTACTACAAGTCTGTATTAGAAAAACAATCTAGAGGGGGTCGCCTAGTTGCTCTCCGCCGGGAGAGAAACACTTTCTCTCCTCTTCTCTGCTCTGTTTTTTTTAAATTGGGGGCCGCCGTAAGTCAGAAAACAAAAACCCACCATAGGATTGCATAGCTAGATTCCTATTGACTATTTCACTTTGCAAAAGCCAATAGCAAACTAGCTATTGCACCCACCCTCTGATGCTGCCAATCAGCAGAGGGGGACCTGAAGTTCTCCATCAGTTCCCCTTCTAGTGATTGACAGCAGCAGAGGGCGAGTGCAATATGTATGTATTCAAGCAAAAAAATATGTAAAACACACCTCCTAGCTATGCATTCCATTTTCCCGGTCCGCAGCTGCAGAGATCGGGAAATGTCTCAGTACCTGTGATTGGCACTGCGCACTGTCAAACTTCCTGGCAGGCTCGGCATGTGGAGCTGCAAACATGCCCAAGCCCATCACTATCAGTGACAGTACTGCGGAGTATGTACCTCATACATTATATAGCCACACACTTTAAATCCAATTCTTCTACCGTGTTTCCCCGAAAATAAGACACTCTCTTATATTTTTTTTGGCTCAAAAAAAACACACTAGGTCTTATTTTCGGGGTAGGTCTTATTTTTTTTAATGTACAACAATCCAAAGTTAATGCAAATCCAAATAAAATACAAAATGGCAAAATTAAGAATAGGGTGATCAGGGCAATCGGGGGTGCCGTACCTTTCCAAGAGCAATTTGGTAACCAGAATGAGTGAAGCGCACTTTCACTATGGATTCCTCACAGGCGGAGTGCATTTGGTATCACTCCGCCTGTGACAGAAGCCGGCGCTATAGAGGAAGCAACGGCTTATGGGGCTCTCCTCCCTCCTGTGCCGCCTCGCTTCCTCTAGCGCTGGCTTCGTTGGCACCCCTTATTCCCTCCTGCGGCTCTTCAAGTTCCCCCTTATGCCACCACCGGCCCTGGGAATGGTCACAACTAGGTCTTATTTTCGGGGTAGGTCTTATATTTTAGCAATTCTCAAAAATAGTACTAGGTCTTATTTTCGGGGTAGGTCTTATTTTCGGGGAAACAGGGTAGTTCCAGCTGCAGAGCCCAGTCCTGTCTTTGTCTATAGCAGTGGTTCTCAACCTGTGGGTCGCTGTGCAAGGTGAGAGTCCTCCTCAGCTCTCTCCTAGCGCAGCAGTGTCAGTTCTCCTGCCACGCCGCCAGATGTCGCTGCAGGAGCCGCGTCATCCCTAAATTTTACCTTTTTGGGGGTCACCACAACTTGGCAAATGTTACCAAGGGGTCCCGGCCTTGGAAAGGTTGAGAACCACTGATCTAGCGCCTTCTTGTAACGGAGAGTATTTACATTTCTCAAGATACATTTGAATACCTTCTGTTATACGAAGGCTCTACAGAGGTACACACTGGTACAGTGGAAGGCTTTCTAATTAATTGTATCCCTTCTCACTGTAACCTCCTGGGTTATATATTTTCCTCTGTATAGAGACTTGTAATTGCTCCCTATAATTATTGTCTGAATATGCTGCAGTAATCTCAGGGTGAACAAAGTCCGATTCCTCAAATTCAACCAAAAAATGTTATATAGCTATGTAAAGAGGGGTCAGAAGGAAAAACAGCAGTGAAGCGCAGTCATTGTGGTGTTACCATGAAGCTGGTCACGTGTGTGTGTGTGTGTGTGTGTACAAAAAAAAGTATAAAGAGACACATTTTGGGTTAACTTAATTTGCACCACATGTTACTTTTTAAAATTCACATGAAGCATGAATGGGGTTTCTCCCATTCACATACAGAGCTTTACTCCATTTACATGGATGCAACCTGCAGAAGAATACCCACAGTTCTTACTACAACCTGACCTGTGCTGGTAGAAGCATCTTTGAAATGTATGGCAGGCCCCATCTGCCACTTCTGTAGAATGTAGCTGAGGATGAAATTAGGTATGTGTAAAGCTGTAATAGTAGCAACTTCCATTATTTTCACTGGGCAAAAAATGTTGAATGAATTCAAAGTATGTAATGTACATTCCTAAAACACTATCTGAGTATAAATGGAGAACACCATTTTTGCTTTATCAGAGTTACATGAAAAAATGGTTGTGGGAAAGAACTAGCAACACACTGCATTGAGTAGTTTTGTATGGGCATTCTAAAGGGACAGTTGTATAGTGTGTTATGTCTTTTTAAGGGAGAGCATTTTGAGTTGATATTGTAAAAGGTGTTTGCGTGGGTTTCCTCCAGGTACTTTGGTTTCCTCCCACACTCCAAAGAAATGCTGGAAGGTTATGGAAGGTTAATTGGCTCCCGTCTCCTATATGTCAGAACCTGAAAACTAGCTCAGTCATGAAGGGGTTAAGTAATGACACAGTGTAATATGTCATGTGTTGTTCATCTGAGGTATTTACCTGATTGTTAGAGTTCTGGGGGTGTACTTTCTTTTTCACATGACTGTAAATACCTGTAATAATAATAAAGATTCTGAATTGAGTATCGAAGATTAAAGGTGTATTTCATATAGAAACTTGTAGCTACTGGTAATAAACTGCATATCTGGCATTGTAGGAAGTCTTAGCTGATAGACAGCTGCTGTGATTACTGGATAAGCTACAGAGAGGTAAAGGCTGTTCACTTTGTAAAGTGAATGATGATGGATAAGGTAATCCTCTGGTCACTTTGAATACCTAGTCATGTGCAAGTGATTGGTTGAAGTGAACACCGCTTAATACTATTTACTAAGCTTGGTGAACCTTCACTTTTTTTTTTTTTTAAGTGAACAGTTTCTATTCCTTTAGTAAATCAAGTCCCAGTGTCCCAGGTAAGCAAACCTGTGAAGCAGATATATTTACAAAATACTTTTTTCTCAAATATAGATACCATTTTTATATAAAGCCAGTTATTCTACTTATTGGTGGAGCCTAGTGGACTCAGTACTCAAGATGTAAATGGGACCTCAACATCAACCCAAGTGGAGATTGAGGCCGGTCCACTCTTGATTGCAAGCCCCTGCCCCTGCATTTCGACTGTTTAATGCCTGAGTCTCTACTGCCTACTGAATGGCAGGGGTTGTCTTAAGCCTTACTTCGGCCCCATGTATAGCTTGGACGTAATATTCAAATGGACTTAACAGGGTCTCATATTTACAGTTAAAGGTTAACACAGGTGCTTGCCTACACCTACAGTTCCGTTGTTACCTTAGAAACATTTTAGGTCAGATTTAAAGCTGACATTTACAAATAACTATTTTAAATGTTTATGGGTATGTTTAGCTGATCCACATTGAGGCCCCATTCACACGTAGCGATATATCGCGCATTTTTGCAGCGCGATATCGCGAGAAGTCGCCGGCTAATGATATTCAATGGAGCTGTCTTAGCTCCATGTCGCAAGTCGCTTCTACAGGACCCTTTTTTCGGCTGATTTTGCTTTTTTCTAATGGAGCCCGGCGGGGAAGGGCGCGCTACCGTCGCTGGATCGTCACAGGAACGTCGGAGCCCCCCTCGCCCCCCCCCCCCCCTGAAAGTCGCGCTATCCCGGCCGCTGCAAAAGGTATGTCGCTACGTGTGAATGGGGCCTGAGAGTAGGAGCAGGAAAGGACCATCATTGTGTAACACTTCTTTTAACCTCAAAATTACATGTGCAGTGTATTTTAAAACACTTAAAAGGTCATATAGATTCCCTTTAAACCTGGACAGATTCCTGCAGTGACCAGCAAGGACGAGTTTCCCAATTTGAATGTTTGTTGTGAAAATTATTTTTCTGTGTATTAGTTTGTTCATTCCAACAACAGAAAATATGTAGGAAGGCTTGTGACCAATGCTACAGGCTGTTACTTGCAAAGGCTTCTGACGCTCGCTAAACCAAAACTAACTTATTGGTAGCAGTGCACAAATCTGCTTTCTTACGCAAGATGCTCATGAAGGATATAACGAACCTCATAACAAAATATGTATATTAATGTCTCATTTCCATGTGCAATGATTTATTTTTACTTTTACTTTACTTTTAGCCTTCTTCAAACAGTGGTAGTTGAATCACCTTTGACTGCTGTAGACTTTATGCCAGATGGAGCTACACTGGCAGTCGGCTCTTCCCGTGGGAAAATTTACCTTTACGACTTAAGAATGTTACACTCGCCAATTAATTCGGCCGTGAGACGAGCAGAGACGCAAGTTAAGTCTATGGACGCGTGCACCCGCATGCAGGCACCGCTGGATCGGAGGGACAGAGCAGTCAGCGCTGGATCTCAGTGACGTCGCACCGCTGGAGGGACACATGAAAACATGGGGAAAGAAGAGGAAGACCATAATAAGAGACATCATTTAAGGTAAGTGCTAACATTTACATGGGGGGGAGGGAAAAATGTTTTTGCCTTTTAATATCACTTTAAGGTACAGCCCCTTATAAACTATTTACTTATCAGGGGAACTCATTTCTAATCTATAGCCTTAGAGCTCTCCACCAATGTCTCTTAGTATGAGGTCATGGGGATGATTTCCTAAAGGCAAATGTATAGCTCTGAATTATTTGCGTAACAAAATAGTTTTGACCCTTTTTTCTGTTTGCTTGTAAACCCTGGACTGTTTAACGGAGAATTATGAGGTGAGTGCTTTTCACTCATCTCATAATGAGTCGACCTGTGACAATTAAACTGTCACAGGTCGGCTCAGTAGATCGGGAAGTGAGCGAACACATACCGGCGCTCGCTCACTTCTCGATCCTGTCACTACAGAGAGCCGTGACAGGGGAGTGACTGGATTCTCCCCTGTCCGATCCTCCAGCGCTGACTGGCGGAACGGACGGGGGAGGGGGCGGGTACAGCTGGCTCTGCCTCTGCCTCTAGATAGGCAGAGCCAGCTGTCACTCACGCAGCTGGGCGGATCCAGACATAATTGTCGGGATCTGTTTCAGCTGCGGCGTCTCAGTATACCGCGAGGTGCAGCTCGCGGTATACTGAGCTTTGGGTAACGGGAGGATGCTAGTTGGTGTCCTCCTGTTACCCTAAGGAGAAGTATGGGGAAAAGCCCTAACCCTATAGTTCTCCAAGTATAAGGCTTCATTCACAATTGCTACTTGCTTTTTTGTGCATCTGTCTGCAAAATCTGTCAGGCTAGATGCTTAAAAGCATGTGTTTACACGTATATGCGTTTAGATGCATCTGTCCTTTGTTTGTTGAAACACTCCATTGAAGAAGCCAATGAGATTTCAGCAAATAAACACGCATTGAGTTTACATGCGTTTTGGTGCATTTAGAAGTTCAAATCAATTCCTAGATGTTTTTTGTAAACACAGCTAAACTGACTACAGATAAAGTATTTAAAAGCAAGGTGTGAATAGATCCATTGGAAATCATTAGATGCGTATATATTTGTTTAGAAAACCATTTTAAATGAATATATACACTTCTAATTGCACCTAGTGTGACTGTAGCCTAACTTGCATGTTTGAACCTAAAAAGCCTCCAAACCGTTTTAATATGTTTTAACTTCGTGGCTCACCTGCATGGCTAACCATTATAATGCCTTAAAAGAGAACTATGGGGTAAGTGTTTTTCCCCACAGTTCTCTTAAGGGTCAGTATATCGTGAGCTACAGCTTGCTGTATACTGAGACCGCCGCAGCCGGGACTGATCCCAACAATGCTGTCGATCCACCCAGCTGCGTGAATGGCAGCTGGCTCTGCCTATCTAGAGCTTCCCCCTTCCCGGTCCGTTCATCTTATCAGTGTTGGAGGATTGGAGCGGGGAGGGGGGAATCCCTGCGGGGAGCCATGACTGATAGTCACCGCCCTCTGCAGGGACAGGATCGAGAAGTGAGTGAGCGACGGAATGTGTTCGCTCACTTACCGATCTATTGAGCCGACGTGTGACAGTTTCATTGTTGGACGTCGGCTCGAACTATGAGGATTAGTGATTTTCACTCACCTCATAGTTCTCCTTTTTTAATGTATCTTCCATTAAAGGTAACCTGAGTAAGCATATGTAGGACTTATGGCTTTCCTCTTTTTTATTTGAGGGGAAGCTCCAAGCTGTAACTATAGGAGAGTTTAGGGAGACTGAATGAGTTATAGGCATGGTTTCTCTTTTCTCTTCTGCTATGTCCCTCCAGCTAACCAACAATAAAATACACCTAGATATACTGACCTGAGTTACACTTAAAGAAATACACATTAAGAGATATAATGCATGTTATGTAGAAGAGTAATGAAGTTAAACATGCTAAAACTGTTTAGAGTGTTTGGTGTTCATGCTTATTAATGGTAAAAGTTATATTTGAACCCTACCTGCATTCAAATGCTGCAAAGTGTTGACATGTGATGACGTGCATTGGGCTGTGTAAAAATGCAGACGTTGCGTTTTTTTATACGATCGGGGCACTGAAAGTACAATTGTTTTCTATGTAACCTTTCATTTTGCCTGCATTGATCAATGCATCTCAGTGTGTGTGTGGTGTGAACTAGCCCCTAAAGAAAAACAAAGAAAATGCAAACAAGAACATTATACTTTCCCAGTAAGGCTTGGTCGAATTGCATTGGAAGTGTTTTGTGTCTTTTTTTACCTCTTGGATCTCGAATAGAGATGCATTTATGGACAACTTAGCAGTGTGTTATTTGAACATGCAATCAGAAAAAAAGATACTGCATAATTGCTGTGGTATTTGGGTAGAATGCAGGAGTTGCCTAAAAGAAACCTTTTTTGTTAGACACAGTTGTTACATGATTATTCTGTTTTCCTTATATTTTCAGACAAATATATGTGAAAACCACTTTAAAGTGTACTTGAACTCAGAAGGTGTAGTTTTATGTCACAGGAAACATGTAGAAATGTTTAATTGCTAATAAGCAGTAGTGTGAACAGTTTACCTTTTTTTTTTTTTTGTCCTGATTTCCTCTTGAAAATGGCAGTGCATCTCCTGGAATGTCAGGGTACCTAGGCACTCATGTGACTGCAGGTTTATAACTGTATACATTCGTTGTGAGATTTAAGCACTGCTGCCTCTTATTCTAGTCTTGTGAGATTTAGTGATGTCATACTGCGCAGTTTGCTGGACCTAATCTGTACCACATACATCTCCCTGCTTCTGCTTCATTAATTATGTAAATCTGTGCTTTATGAACCTTTCCTGCTGTTTCTTGAATATTTCCACACCGGTTAACAGATCACTATCAGTCAGTAATGGGGAAAAAGGGTCAGCTTCTGGTGCTTGCATTCAATACTGCTAACTAGATGCTTATCCTCTGCCTGCCATTCTTTGGGACAGCTTCTAGAGTTCAAGTCCTCTTTAATGGGTTTTACCATAACATTTACCAAGATAACCTAGTAAAATGAAAACAAAAAATGTGTTCAGAAATAATTCCTCTATGCTTAAATGTGCCATTTTTTTTTTTTTTTTTATGATTTCAGTCTAGCAAGTCAAGTAAATCATCTATGTCTGTCAACAAGAAAGCAACCTCTCTTGCTGGAGGAACACATTTAGTTAAAGATCTAACATCTACAGCCTTACCTGCCCAGACACAGCCAGCCACAATAGTAGAAAGTAGGGTCCAGGAGCTTGATGACAAATCCGGTAAGATTTATGATATGCTTTATTATATAGATACTTCTTATTACCTCTTCTTCTTTGGGTTACATTTTGCAAACTAGTGCAGTTTGTAATCTGAGCTATGTTTTGTACATTTTATTTTTCTTAAAACCAATGTAACGTAGAGTAATATTTCTGTGGTAATTTTTAATCAATGTGTACGTATGGTGAGGCGGTAGAATATCGTATACTAAACACAGGCCAGTATGAATCAAAAGGAATGACTCGATACAGAGTATACTAGCCAAAAAATAGATATAACCAACCTGTGCTTAACTATCATTCACCTTGAGGAGGTGCCGCTGATATTCAAGAGGGATTAACTTTAGGGTCTCGATTCAAAGGTGTTTAATTTGCGTCAATAACCATCACCCAGAATGAAATGGACTCAGTCAGTGATCAATTATGTTTTTTTTATATTTATGTCGTTTGTTATTTGGTGGTGTTTGGATATACACTAAAAGTTTTTGTATGATATTTTCAAAATTTTGTCTGTCCCGATCTTTGGTTAACCCTTACACTGTCTCCCCTTTGAACGCAGTCTGCCTTGTTTTTTTTTTTGTGAGCGTAAGTGTTACTTGATGTAGCACTGTAGTAGTGGCAAGGCAGTTTAAACCTTTTTTTAGATCTTTAGGGCAAACCTTTTTCGGAAACTGTCGTTCTTTTTAATTCAGTAACGTAAGGGCCTGATCAAAAGTGTGCAAGCAAGAACATGTTTTTCCTTGCCTCTAGCAACCAACCAGCTTTCCTCTTTCATCTCTTCAGCAAAGTTGTGATGTTCTGTAGAGCATATATAGAAATCCCACTTGATAATGGTTTTGTATTTGTGTTTTTTCAAAAAAATTAAACTTATTTTCTTTGCACCTTATCATTGGACTAAAGTTTGTTTTGTAATTCTCTCCTCCCCTTGCTCCTCTGTTTGGCTTAATTCATTTTTCTTAAAACTGTAGAGAACCTGAAGTCAAAGTATGTCTAAAGCCAAAAAGTTTTATTACATTGAGTAGGGAATGGTAAATGGGACTGGAGAACGCACAGCTCCTTAACAGACGCACAGCAATAAAAACTTGACCGGGTTCTGAAACCTCTCCACCCTATTCAAAACTTTAAAAAAGAATTTTAGGTACACTTTATTTGATATGCTAGCTGTTTTGTTAGCTGCGGCCTCCCTGACATGCCTTTTTAGAGCTAATTTGAAAATGTAATAAAGCTTTCACATGTGACAGGTCCCCTTTAAAAAAAGCCTTTAAATTGCCTACTGCAACTCTGAGATACTTGAACACAATACTAGGTACTGCCAGGTAATGTATTATTTTGGAGAGCTTTGGGATTTGGCATGTTTGTGTGGAAATGCTAATTTGGCATTCATGTTTAGGCCATTACAATAGCTCTAGTGCATTGATCAAAGACAGATATTTATGGATCCAAAGTTTTTCTTACTGGAAGCTTTTCACTTTAAACCCTTAGTAATGGGAGACCTACACTGTATGTCCCCATCATTAAGTGCCCAAATGACTGCTAACATAACACTGTTCACTCAATAATGAGGCATCTAAAGTTTTAAGCTTTTTTAAACACCCGATCGCTTTCACTAAACGGGTGTCTGACCCTAGTAGTGTGTCTGATCCTATGAGTGCAGTGGAAACCTCAATTCCTATCACTGGTAGGTAGTCGTACACTCCCCATGATTTGCTAATGTACCAGCATTTTGCTGCAAAAGCTGAAAGCTGCCTGTTTCAGGTTTTTTGACCGTGTCACTAAGGTTATTATTGGCTGTCCTTAAGTTTGGAGCAGCTTAATAATTTCCAAAAATGTATTTAAATGATCAAGCAGTTATAGTGACATCCATTCACAACGACTGCCTGATATAATTGACAAGCCAGTAGTTAAAGTATGTGTAATA